CTGCCGACATGCGAGTTGTGTACCGGATTGCTGTCCTGCAAGAGAAGGATACCTTTGCTGATCTTGCCCCGCTTCTCTTAATTTCATCAAATGTGAAGCGTAATAGGCTCCTGTAATTGTGTTACTCTTTGCCAGGAAATCTGTCATCACTACTCCGTCCTGGTCTCAGAAGACTGTGATCATGACCTTGCCAGCGGAGGGCTGCACCCTTGCCTTCTTTGGATATGGTGAGTGTTTCCACTGCATTGACTGGGCTTTGGTCTCTGGATCATAGTGTTGGACACAAGTTTCATCCTGTGTAATCAGTCTTTTGAAAAACTTTGACTCATCTTTTTGGCACATCTCCAAAATCATCCTCGAGCACTCAACGCGGTCTTGCTTCTGGAGTGAGCAACCTGGGAATCAATCAATATGCATATGCAAATGGTCATGAATGATAGTCTCACAGACCCTGTACTAATCTTGACCTCAAGGATTATTTGGCGAACAAAATGATGCGTCGATTTTCCAAAATGGCTGCTCAACTTGACTGACAGATGCCTTATCATTGGCAGAAGAGGGATGCCCAGGTCTGAGAGCTGTTTCCATAGACTTCCGGTCATGTTTGAATTCGCGATGCCAGCGTTTTACAAGATCATATCATGGGGCATCATCGCCATAAGTTTCTTTCATTTCATCAAAAGTCTCCTTTGGTGTGCGTCCTTTCAAATACAAAAAACTGGATCATTGCGCGACACTCAACTGGCTCCATTTCATACCTGACTCAGTTCAAACACCAGTAAATCAGAAACCCAATTAGTTCAGAGCTGTTTTTGCAACATAACCTATAAAGATGTAAATCATTACACATGCAAAATTAAATCTAGATCAGACAACTGGAAGTGGATCAGAGGCATTACTCATTGAACGCCCCTCGTAAACTTGTGGGGGATCTGTCCCTTGGATAAGTTTTGTGTTGCACTATGCAATCTCGAAAATACAGACGCTAGCCTCCTACTCCATGCAGCACGTGTTAGAAATGGCCACTTTAAAATCATGATGTTGTCGTTCTGTTGGTTGCATGTATTGGATGATTGGCTATTCCAGGACTATGGCTGTCATTCGGAAGTGGAAAGCACACAGTAGTACTACTGCTCAGGGTCCGAACAAATGCAAATCCTTGCCATTCTTTCATGCCTGTACTGGACATGGCACTGTATCTACCTTTGTGACGTGGATCTGAACATAACATATGCTCCATAACCTCTCTGCTACACCAGTCACAATCAGATGATAAGGTCTAAGAGGAACGATTTGTTGCTTTTTTGTATAGCCACACATCCCCTCACAGTCAATGAAGCTTGCCAAGCATGTTAAAGATCTACTGAGAATATTCAACTCAGGATGCCTGTTTGTAGCACTTCAAACAAGCTACCTACCGCATGGTCATGTCTGGGAATAACCAAGTCCAGGTGAATGGGCAGTCAGTTGGGATGAGGGATTAGACCACCTGCCAAAGGCGTCATAATCATGCCATGAGTTAATTCATTGTGAATACCAAAAAGCCTGCAGAAGACTTTGTAGGTGTTTCAAGGCTCATCTTTGCTGTATTGGACTTTTGTGGTAGGAATTACCAATAAGGAATACGAATTTGTATATATTTCCCGTATTAGTGTTGTGTTCTGGCAAGTAATATGATGGCTTAATTATCGTGTCACGCCAGATACCAGGGACCGTTACATTCGCAACAAAGACACACACAGATCTAGGATTTGTGTCAACCTCTTGTCTCGGCGCTCTCTGTGAACTGCTGAGGTTCCTTTATTTGCCTATTCAAAACCATCGCACCTTACATGACCTCCTCACATTCTACTCATATAGTCGATCACACAAAGTATTTAACATGTCACAATACGTTTGATTAATTGCTCCCTATATTGGGCAGTAACTTCTACATCAAACTTCCACAGAGACTAAAACAATATTCCATAGTTGACATTTATATCCGCCATTTGTTCCACTCACTGATCCCACCAACCCCCAAATACGCGTATGAATCTGATCATGTCAGGCTATGTGAAGGTGTGGATTGACATCGTCCAGATCTTCCATCAGGTACCAATTATCCAGGGGTAATCAGTGAATGTCGCTATAATTGCCAAAAGCGGGCTCACATCTAAATACACGGAAATATAAATCATGACAGTAACATGTAAAAGCAAGTCATGATTTATAATATATATTTATATTATTTTATTATTTTCGTTTACTGGTGTTTAATCTGACTCACAGGTATCTTATACATTTCTGCATTTCTTTGGCAACGAACATCTGGCGTATTCAAATTTTCAAGGTGCTTTTATTATCATATATCAAATTAAGCGTGGTATTATTTTGTTACTGGTGACAGTGATATTGCAGATGCATCAACGTTTTTCATATGAATGTTTACACCTTGGTTTATATCTACATCTTTGAAATCCAATTTCTTTGACCGGAAATCAAATCTATGACACCATGATTAACATATATGCTGCATTTTATGGATATATCACAGTAAAAAGTTTGGCTAGTTTTGTCAATTTTCAAATCTTTAAACCTAGAATAAGATTCAAAGTAGGCTCCCTCTTATTTTGATAAGCATATTAAATTCTACTTATGTATTAAATGTTGTATCATAATTTGAACAAATACTGCTGGACTACTAGCTGTCTATAGTGTATAGTGTACAATTAAGTGACTGTAATTTTTACTGAAAAGTCTAACTCTGTAATTATTCTGGTATGTATTGTGCGTGTGTTTGCAATACACAGCAATGAATGGTGTTGTATATTTTACTCCCAATTACGAGGTACCCGTGATAATGTATATGTATTTACGTAGTAGCTACGTGCGTGCTACACTGTATGTTTATCAACCCAAACATACACAGGTGTACATCTACAACACCCTAATGGGAAATGGACAATAAAGCAATACAGGGTAACCATACAACAGGACATTAATAGCAGTCACTAAACGTTATTCATCAGTGATTAGAACTGGTAGTAGTCGACGAGATCGGTGTCGCTTTATGAGATATTGTGGCACAGTAAACCCATGTGAGTGTCTACTTGCGGTAAAAACGAACAGCGTGGGTAGGAAATATTCGTACCTTCTGCTTAGTATGAAAAATCTCAACAATCCATTACTATGTTAAAAAAAATACTCAAGCAGCCAGAAACTTAGAGTGTAACTGATAATTTTGTAGTTTTGTCTTATTAAACATATAGCATCGACAGCATGACATATGTCGATAGTTTTATAGAACTTTTCAATACACTTTACATATCAATGGTAATCAGGAAATTCAATTATAATACGTTGAATTCAAAGGGAGTGTGTGCCTGTTTAGATGACGTGACATCACACGGGATTATTTTATAATGACAGATTACTTGCAGCTGTTATAAATCATCATACAAAGAACATACAAATACAAATACAATAAGGCACAATTAATTATCAAATAATGACTTAAATGTGTCATAAATCATGGTTCTGAGAGTTTGGTGAGTGCACTAACGTTATAACGAATGGTAGCATTTATATTCACATTTTGACAGTGGATTAAGGGCTAGTCTAGTGTCATTGGTACAATATAGGTTACAATTAATTAAATAATTGATATACACATAAATTTTAATTCATTCCATATATGACATATCTTGACAGTTAACTAATTAAAAACAGACAATAACCGGAATTCATACAAATGGTTTATATCAACAAAAGACCAAATATTCACAATGACAATTACGGACTGGACAGAAAGTACAGAGGGGTCGGTGCATAAAACACTGACCATTCACAACATGTTTATAAATATATATAACCTCCTAACTCACCTGACATTATATATAATGTATATATCATTATATATAACGAATCATCTTGCTTCTAGATAGATACCATTGGAAAAAGCACTATTTTGCATATTATGGTTATTATGTAACATAGCAATAAATTCAAAATACTCAAAATTTTTCACATAAATTTGCTTTAGCTCAATACTAATTTATATGAGCATTTTTGGAATAAATGACGTGACATGGCACAGAGGATTATTTTATTTATGGTATAATGACGGATTACTTGCAGCTGTCATGACACGAATTATAAGTACACATATTTAAATGTACATGTATATGAGTCTTAAAATATAAGTACAATGAGGCTGTACAATTTATTAACAAATAATGACTAAGACGTGTCATGAATCAACCTTCTGAGAGGTGGACGATTCTACTAATGTCACATAAGTTAGACTGTATCATGCATTATATATTATATAAGGGATTTAAATGTTGATGGTTCGTATGACATTTTGATTAAAATTTACTTTTTGAACTTTGGATCTACATATAGGCTTCTTTACTGTGAACAAATGTCCATATCCTATGTCATATAACCCCAAAAATGGGGGACAATGTATTGAAATGGTTTTCGATTTAAAATCTTTTGTTACAAGGCCATGAGAGAAAGAACTAGTTTTCGATTTAGAACCTTTTGACATAAAGCAATGGGAGGATGAAATGGCTTTCGATTTAAAAGATTTTGTTATAAGGCTATTGGAGTATGAACATATTTATAAACGCTCTAATGTAGGGCCACGGGAGCTTGAAATGTTTTTTTCGATCAAAAACACCGATCCACAGATATGAAATGGTCTTGGATTGAAAACCCTCTGGTGTAACACTTGAGAGAGTCCTCTTGCTTAGGGCATGAGTGAATAAAATAGTTTTCTATCGCAAACTATCCTATATAGGACACATGAAGGATTCACAGTGAATTTTCAAATATAATATACTATAAACGTTATGCATGCGTGTTGACTCTTCGTGTATGTGACAATTCACTGCTAATGTCGTAACGGAAATTAAATTGATTACCAACTGGGCTACCAGTTAACCACTATCCAACCAGATGTTAACATTGTAGTCTTTTAGGGATTATTGTAGAGGTCATGTGAGAGTATGTCAATGTGAGAGCGTGCCCTACATAATGCACATTATGGAAATATACCAAATGTTGTTACGTTTACCCTTAATGTGTACACACCTTGGTATGAAATGAAATACTATCACGTTAATTATCAGCATAATGAATGTTTTAATACATGTTTCTTTACAATGATCTAGGATGCAGCAGATTTTCCAGACCCTCCCGAGATGCCTAAAGTTATCAGTAAAAGAAGATATTTGTTTCCCATGCAAACGCGAGGACTTGGTCCCAGTGTACAGTATGAAAGTTTTAAATTGGCTGCAGCCTTTGCTAAACAATTGAATCGTAGCATTGTACTAGTGCCATTCTTCCATCACCGTGGTCACGAAGAGGCGAGCTCTCGGCCATTTGCAATGACGTATGATGCGGACGTTTTGAAAAACACAGTATCCGTTGCCAATGTTAGAGAATTTATGAAGGACTGCGATAACACAATTTCTGTGGCATTACAAGCTCCTCAGATTGGAGGGAGACCTGCAGACGAATATAATACTTTGTTCCACAAAGAAAAGGAAACATTAGACAGTATATTTGGCATTACTATGCCTGGTCCTGAAACTATACCTAAAAGTAAAGAACATACTTTACAAATGATTGCAGACAGTGAGAACGTTCCTTGTGTAGGTTTGTATTTTCCTTTGGACTTCGCCAGTCTAATCAATTCAGATGTTCTCTTGTTAGAAGTGGAGAAGGGTCTCGCACGACCACCTCCGATGAAAGAAATGGCAGATGTGGTAATGGGAAACATTTGTGAAAGCGGGCCCTTTGCTACCGTTCATTGGAGAAATAAGTCCGGAGAAATGTAAGTACTCACTACTACGGCATTAATCTGTATCATTACGCATGATATATATACGACCTAATGTGAAACACATTTGTTTCGAATTCAATGTTATGGTATTATTTTTTTAAATATTCAATATTTGTTTACGTATCACCATTAAATAACAAAATTGGTTGTACTATCAGTTTTATTACAGCTTATGCAAGTGTTATAATATTGTCAGTCAAAATGTACTCAATATAATAATTATATTAGAGAACATTTCCTAAATTATAGTTTAATTTATTAAAGTTGTACGGCGGGTGCAAGATCTGGATCCATCGATCCAGCTACGTGTACAAAGAAGATAAATTACCTCGCAAAAGCAGCAAACTTGTTGCCTGAAGCAATAATGCACGCAGTGAACGAGTACAATATACAGTGTTTATATATTGCACATCCACCATATGCCAGGGTTAGTCATTTATTTATTTATTCATTCATTCATTCATTCGATACATCTGAAAAGAACAATTACTGGTAACCTGAGAAAGCGCAAGCAACAACCTAAGATTGTGAAACATTTATTTAAACCTTTCCGTAATTTCTTTACTATTATATATAATTGATTTTTGTATTTGGGTTACATTTTGAGCACTAATAATAGTGGGTAATAAACTGTGTTAACCAATATTGTATATAACAATGATTCTCTCTATTTAAGAGGACCTTGATTCATGTATTGAAGGGCGCCACACGTGTTCACTGACAGTTAGTTTGCCTCGATCTTGACAATGTATTTAAATTATTGTACTTTTTTTCCTGGAAAACAGCTGTTCTTAACATTGTTGAGCCAAAAATAATATTTTTACCTAAAATGTGTGTGATATGATAATGAACTTTTTGGGCCAACAAAAAATAACAATGACCACATCATACGTTCGAATATTTGCTTTGTTTCACGAGATGAAATGGCGGGAGCTTTTCCTAATCTAAATGTAGTAACATGTCAAATGCTTATGGTTTCTGGGGATATTATGACGTAGTTACTCTATATACTAAAAGAGAGACTATGATTCTATATGGAAATACGCATGGGGAGAGTCCACGGGATACCATTGGACATTTATACTTAATTTGTTTAGGCACCCGATTTTTTTTAACAATTTGCCAACAAGAAAAAAATGTAGGAAAAGTACAACTTATTAAATATGCGTTTGTGAGACGTTAATAACGACCAGTAAATGAGAAACAGATTCCTTTAATACAGATTCCTCGAATGTACACAATGTAGGTTTCCCTGTCCACTATAACGCTCGCATCATTGAGTCCAAAAATCATATTGTGGTAAAACCGTAAACTGAGTATTTTAATCGGAGATAATTAAAGCAATATACGGGGAAATAAAGTAATTAAATTCAGCATCACTACCATCACTAGTTCCCGAACCTCCCCCCTTCCCTGAATCTTACGTTTATGACCATATATATGCTGTTCCATTCAAGATTTGCCGTTATTCACTATCGTGAAATGCCATAAATATATACATTGCCAAAAACAAATTGGTGTGTTCTATTTAATATTAAAGTTGGACGAATATGATAAATGCGGCCGTCAATTGATCAACTCACGTTGCAAATTGTAATAATAAATGATATCATGCATCATATATTTAAAACTCAACTATTCAAAGAATTACTAAATGCAAAATACTGAACACTTTAATTAATTACGTTTCATTAATATTAATCATTCATCAATTTTTTGTGTCAAGTATTTTCGAAATAAACTGAGCAATATAAGTGCCATGACATACCTAACTCACTGCTTTGTGGCAATGTATTGTGGGTGTTTTGTGATAGAGTTAGCCATGGTAACGTGGCACTAAAATGCATAATACATAATACATACATAATGCATAATACATACAAAATGCATACAAGGTTAATTTCCAGAATATTATTGTCCTTGTTATTACAAATGATAAAGTAGCGTATTTCCGAGTTCAGAATTCATATATATATACTGAAACAGTTTTAGACAATTGTCTGGGCTGGTTGTGGATGACACAATACATATTTGTCTATGCTTTCTACTCAAAATGCTAAAGCTTTGATGAATAGCGACACAAGAGAATGCAACAGAAAGGACAATTTATATAAACGAATCGATTACACGCATATAACGGTGTATACTGATAATCTAAATTTAATTACACGTATTTGTAATCGCTACAAAATCGGGTTTGAGTAAAAATAGCCGATATCTAACAACCAAATGAGACAATAAAAAGTAATAACAAATATATGGAGGCACCAGCAGTGGCAATGCACTGTGTGTACACGATCGGTTCCAGCCATAGTTTATATTGCAACATGCTGTCGCACACATTCTTCTTTAAAGCATATTTATTTAATGCATTAAAATTAATGTTAATGTACTTTTTTCAGAAAATAGACGAATTACTAAAAGGTAAACTACCTCGAGTGTTCTCACGATCAGACATCCTGGCAAATGTCGACTTGGCCAACGGACCTTTCTCTCAAATAAAGGATGAGTATTATATGTCACTCTTGGAACAAGAGATGTGTGCCCGTAAGTAAAAGTTGTCATTAATTAGTATAGTTAGAGGGGTCCGTAACCAACACGTGTGTGTATGTGCATAAATTGTATTTGCTGAGAAAACAACGCAATACAAAACGCTGTATATAAAAAGATGTATTAACGTGCATTCAACAGAACGTACTTTAATTAAAACTACATTTTCGAGTAGTCAACGTTTGCTGTATTATAAAAATGGACAACTTTAATGTTCCCATATTACATACTCAACCGTAGACCATTGGATGATTGACACTTAGATCATGAACACAATATAACTACAAATGACGTAAGCATTACAAATCAGTAAAATATCACGCGAGACATTCATGTCGTTTGAGCTCATCTATGTAGCAGTGTTTTTTTTTTTCATGTTTAACAGCAAACTCATAATTACATAAACTGTTCTGATATTTATAGGTTCTGACGTCTTTCTATCCTGCCGTAAGTCCGCTTGGTCACGTGTAGTGAGAAATGAACGTGAGGCTCATGGACGGATATCGATATTCTTGGCTGATTTGCCAGGAATACCACCTGAGTTTACTAATCTAATCTGAACAATCGAAGCAAGATGACAGTAGAAAACACCATCACAAATAGTAGCCAACGAATCATAGCTCATTCCTGATTTCAGGTGTCAGATAAATAGGTTACTGTATCCA